CTATGTCTAGCGCCGCCAGATTAGTGGGCTTTGTTTTTGCAGCATTGACCACGATATGGTGGAGGATTCGGAATTTTGAGGAGTGGAAGCACCAGGATTGGCACTAAAAGGTAGAGGTCCTATGAAATGTTTTACCGATGTATTTAATAATTCCTTTTACTTCCGCAGGGACTTTTCTTTGCAATAACTAATTCACCTGCTGCTTTCTGGCCCTCTTCTCTCAAAAACTAAAATGGTGAAAGCACAGATAATGTGGTGCATTGTAAACGTAACAAAGGCATTAATTTGTGCTCTAAGTTGTTTTTAAGGGTTGTAATGGCATACTGACTGTGAGCTACCTCTGTCGTAAGCATGCAGAAGCGCTGGCGAATAGATTACAACCATGTGCTCCGCAGAAGGTGAGCTTATGTCGCCTATCCGGAAACGACATGGAGAGGCTCTTACTCTTCCCTCATCATTAGACTTAATCATCCCACTTGCTAACGACGCAAAAATGAGATGTCCATTTAAAAACTATGGTTAGGTGGGGCGTTTCGCTATGATGCTTGATCCACTTGCCATTGGACGCATGAATCTACATCGCAAGTTGTAAGGATCATTAGTTTTCCATTGATGCAGGTCTCTGGGGCTGAAAAGCAAGAAATAACTACTCGCAATCAAAATGGAGGACTGAATTTTGGGGTGATTTATTGCTTCATCACAATACCTGCTTGTGGTAATAAGTTTTACCACATGACTGAATTCAGGTCTCACATGAATCAAGTACAGCCCATAAAAAGGGGAAATTGCGTGAAGAAATTCAACAGCTCATCTTAGGTAATCTCCTACAATATTTCTATCCTTAAATAGCACCGTTTGGCAAAATATTCTCTGCTGTCTATATTGCCTTCTGAATTAACTTAATACCCGGGAGAGTCAGTGTTTGACTAGCAACAACAGCAATTACTGTCTGTGGCTCAACGGACTTTGTACATTCCACTACACGGCAAATGCGTCAGTTAAAGCAACAGACGCTCTCTCTGTGGCAAATGATTTGCTTTTGGATAGGTTGGATGAAGCTCCCGAGATGGTCACAGAGGTACAAAGGCGCAGGTTAGCGATTCCCATTGGGAGTGGCTACAAGTAGAAAAGTGAATACTAAATTTCAAGACAGGGACTCAGCTGCACCCTAAGTGGAGAGCAGCTTGCAACCTCGTGCGTAATCAACTAATCTTGCATTTTACAATTATAAAATTGCGATTGAATCAAGTAGCGAAATAGGTCCGGAGAGTGTGAGGCAACAGGTCCAGGTCCGGATAAAGTGTTGATGTTGAAGAAACTCGCTAATGTCTGGTGAAGTCAATTCAAAATCACGAATTGACAGAAGCGCTGAGATGAAGAGAATAGAGTGAGAAATGAGAACAGCTTCCCTTCTTTCACAAGACAACTGGTGTGTAGTAAAATTGTATCACTAAATTGGAGGACTGCATTAAATTAGCGAGATGGATTCAACTCCAGAATAAATGCGAAATGAAAGACAGAAATCCTTTATTAAGCGGTTGTTTGACCATCTGTTGGTGTTGCAATTGCGTGATTATGACAGCTTGTTACGGAACCATAGGGTAACTATCGAATCGGGATATAAAAAGGCTATTTTTACCGTTTGGACCTCTTTCTTATAAGAAGTCATGCTACTTGACGAATGTGCAGACATGAAATTTTCTAGCTCCTGTACAGATAGATCTGTTGCCAATCCCAAACAATAAATGCACGGTCTTCATCTACTACGTAGTGAACCGACTGGGACTTCCTTGTTCCATTCTAGGTAGGATCCAACACAAAATTTACAAGAGTGATCTTCTCCATTCCACATTCACAATGCTTTAGGTCTGTTCTTTTTGTTGGATGGAATGCCTCCACTCCGACGATGCTCTTCCGAGGTGGAGCAACGTGAGATGATTTCATTCCATCAAATGACCTCCATGTCTGACAGAGCTTACGTCCGAACTAAAATAAGGATTTGAGAATGAACTGTACCCCTTCTTGCCTACTCCTGCCCAAACAAAGCAGTCATTTAAATGCCGACTAAGTGACACTTGATGGGCATAGTAATCAAGGTCTGGTGCTTTTCATGAGTCCCATTAAACCACGACTTGCAGAAGAAAGTAGATGAAGAAGTGTGGGATTCTGTGTATTCTAAACAAATGTTCAGCCCTGGTAAGTTAAACCGTTAAAATATTAGCAGAAACTTGGCCGTTAATCAGTACCATCTGTCTTGTATGGGGAACAGGATAAGTCAAAACTTGACTGCGATTCGGAATGAATTGTAGGTGATGTTTCAACTGAAAACTAGTTGAAATTCTCAGGGTTTTCAGAAGCTTCCCCTTGTTATCAGTACTGTCCTCAGTGGTAAGTGGATAATAATGCAGCAACTGAATTGGTACGAGTTATGATAATGATTGAACTGAAGTGTCACCATTAGTCAGAATCAATTAGTCTGTAAGGAGATAAGTCATTTTGCTAGCAAATAGGTGACATGGGTCATTTCTTTTAGATATCTCACCCTGCATTATGCAGTTTTGTGTTTATCATAAAGATTGCAGCTATTAAGTCTCTTAGGCTGTTCCACTGCATCGGCAGCTCGTCACAACGCCAGGAATACCACAGCCACTTATTGAGTGGCTGGATTTAGGCTGATGTACTACACATTGGTTGTGGTTTCTGCCCTACAGCCACTCCGTAAATGGTGGAGTCTTCTATGCTCTGCATTCTTAGGTCACCGTTTAAACGGTGGAGAAGTAAAGGGAATGAGACCTCTCTTATTACACCCAGCTGATCCCTCACCAACCTGAAGTAAAAATATCAAGAAGCAACCATTAATTAGGAAGGTTTGGTAGGCCGAACCATGTTGACAGAATTCAGTGGACAATGATGTCCTGGTCAAGTGAATGGC